GTAGACCACGTCAATCCATTGATATACAGCTTTATTTTAAGCCAAGTCCGTACTCAAAACCAAAAGCCTAAAGCTAGACGATTTACATTGGACGAGAAGTTGTTGGCGTTGTCTTTGCTTAAAGCTAGTGGTGAAGGGTATAGACTATTATCAAAAATATTTATTCTATTATCCAGGCGAAATCAGTTTCTTGAATGAGCTTTATATTATGTATACCTACATAAACTTTCTACCTAACACATGCGGAAAGTGTATTTTCTGGACTTAAAGGCTTGTCCGAACTCTGCTTTTTGTTGTCATTCGTGCAACTTCCATCACGTGCAGAAACACTTTCCTCACTTGTTAGGTTAACAACGATTTTGGATTGTGAGAAAAGGACCTCTTTTGTCATTTTTTTTACGATTTAAGTTTTTCATCAAGCTATTGTTAAATGTACGTCATTACTTCTTGTATAACTGTCCTTATTATCTTTAACTTAACTAGCATTACCTATGTATGTATACCTACATGAAAAAAAACTGTTTCGCAATAATTTTAATTAATTCCATATTCTATTATATTTTCTGTTTCAAACTTTAATAAATATCTAAAGTTGTCATCTTAATTCTTAGTCAATTTTACCTTGAAGGCGCTTCAACGCTACCGATTTTATGAGTTTCTTCTTTTTGGCACAATTATTTTATGCCAAAAAATGGTAGAAACTTTAAAGTGGTGGTGTTGAATCGCTAGAATCAAACGATGCTCCAAACGATCCACCGGAACGAATAAGATACCGAACGAACCCTAATTGCGTTTTGCATTCGCCAATAAATCCAGAATTACAAAAGCTGACCCCCCCAGTCACTAGAGGCGCTGAAAACTTATAGACAGGTTCTCAACGTGGCACTTACCTTTCTAAGGGGGGATGTTTTGTGTCCAGCATAGCATAATCGATTAAACTTGATTAACCTCGCGAAAAATAGCCTAATAAAGCAGAGAAAGGTTGGTACCATATCAATTGACAAAGAGGATGTGCCCCCTATAAATCGCAGTAGGTACAGTCATGAGCACAAAAAGTGGGACACCCGACTGACAGGTCTTGTCATTTTTCGCTATTTTGCGTAAATCAGTCTTTTCTCTACAATCGATTTGTTGTCAAATATGACAATCCCTGTCATTGCCGTAGGTATAGCTGTTGAACCCGTTTTACACTAGGAAAAAACGGGTGTCCCACTTTTTGTGCTCACGACTGTACATGTTACGTGTTTGGACGCGTACTATCTCTAGTTACTCAGAGGGGCAATTGTCTTCACGGACCATCCAATAATTAGTATTAAAAACTTACTTTTTTTCCACCCTGTATGAAATCTTTTTGAAACAATAAAAGACGAAAACGTTGAACCAACAATAATGAAGAACATTGTTTCGAATAACTGAGACAAAGAATCAGGGTGATGTAAGTCATTTTTCAGGTGAAATGAAATTTCTGCAAAACTACGAGATTTATTCGAAAACCCTTCAAGTTGTTTTTTACCATTGAACTATTGATTCTTCCTAAACCCAGAAAAAAAGCAGGAGTATGTTTAAAAAGAAATGGCGACGCTCTGAAATTTGACAAACTTTGCACTGTTTTACTGTCCACCCTGTATGTTGAAGATAACGTTACTGTTTATCAGCACGATACCATATGCCTTGAACACCAAACAATGCGCCCCAATATGCTTTAAACCGTAATCAAATATCTCTTATACTTTCTGAGAAATTGGACTTCAAAAATAGGCAAAAAAATTCTTTATGCGTATCGAAGTTCCAGCAGTTTAGTTTCGGATAAACGGGGGTTTTTCTAATACTACCTCAGGCAACCTGAAAATACTGAATTTTCATGCTTTTTGCGTTTATTTGTGCTAGGTAGCTTTAAAAAATGTTGATTAAGTTTAGACCTTTTACAGAAAGGTGCATGTTTTTAGTTAGGTGCCTATACAGTGTCATTACTTAAGTGTGCAACATATAGGATTTATTTATTAATTATTATTTTTTTTTTCAAATTCAGTGGCACCCTAGCCATTCTATACGTATTGAACTATTAACCCACCCCTAATAATTATTCGCTGAGCAAACTGAGCATATTATGGTCTCTTGTTAATTCATTAACAAAAAGGGTTACACTATACAGTGTCATTACTTAAGTGTGCAACATATGGGATTTTTTTCTAGTAGTAGCACAATCAAAATACAAATAAGGCCGAAAGTTGGTGCATGTCTGATAATCATAGTAGGTGCACTTAGAATGGTTGCAAGTCAAACAGCATACAGGGTAGCTCAAAAAATATCAAAATTGTAGTAATATTTACTTGAATAAAATAAAACTTTTGCACTTTAAGGAGAGGTTTTTTAATATGGCTATTATCATTAGTAATGTTTTAACTTGTTAAAAAAAAAATGCGATATTTTAAAGTTGTGTTGAATTTTTTTGAAATAAAAAATAAAAAAAATATAGAAATTATAGATTTTTTTCGAAAGAAAATAAAAAAAATCGTAGGGGGCTATGTTTTGGTATTTGAGCATAACTTTTAATTCCAAACAACTTTTCTCTTTAACATTTTGCTGAATTTTCTAAAATAAGGGTATTTTACAGTACAACTTTGATATTGTTTGAGCTACCCTGTATGATGTTTGACTTGCAACCATTCTAAGTGCACCTAATATGATTATCAGACATGCACCAACTTTTGGCCTTGTTTGTATTTTAATTGTGCTATTACTAAAAAAAATCCCCATATGTTGCACACTTAAAAAATCACACTGTATATATGTGAATGTACGAGGGTATTTTGAAAAGTACTTGTTTGGTGGGCCTTTGTGTGTTTTTAAAACAAACACAAATAGAAGTATGACAAACTATATACTGTATTTTCTCCCAAGATAGATTTTGACTTGACACTGTCAACTTTAAAACATAAACAACGCCGCTTATTGGTCGCAAGATGCCATTTGCGCCTCATGCATTATAAAACTGATTACAACCTGCAGGGACACCTCATTTTCCGACCAATCAGGGCCAAGCGTTATTGTTTATGTTTCAAAGTTTTCAATGTCAAAATCCACCTTGACTTCTTAACAATAAGATTTTAATCCTCAAATTCTAACTCGTTTCGACGCTTTACAGCCAATCTACGGACTTCGGCATCTTTCAGTAATAAAACAGTGCGATTTACTCTTACTCTAGTCCTTCATTGCACACGTAGCACCTTACCTTTCCCGAATTGCTATTTTTACAAGAAAGGTGACGAAAAAGAAAATTCGCTTTATTAACAGGGTCATTGTTTTGGTTTCCATGGTTACCAAGTGAAATGACATATTATGAAAAAACAATTTTCATTGCTTTTCTTTCCATGGCTGTTCAGATTTTTCAGACAAATCACCAAATGTATGTATACCTAATAACTAAACACTTAAACCCTAGGCCAAGGGATCATGAGGCAAAAAGTTTTTAGCACAAGCGTAGCGAGAACTGAAATTCATTAAGATAGAAAATCACTTTTATCACAAAACGTAGATACCTGAGTACCTACAAGTACACAAGTTTTCACACTTTTGAACATTTTTGGTCATTAACTCATTCAGCTTAAAATTAGCCATAGTTTTTGAGCGCCCCTGGTATATAAAGGAAGAGTTACGAACACCTACTAAACATTTTTAGTTAAGGAAAGATGAAATAAGCAACTTTAAAGCAATACATGCAAGTTATTTTGCTTTATGTACACTTTATATTGGTACTTAGGTTGCCTAAGGTAGTATTAGCAAACCCCCTGAATATCCGAAACTAGTCATAGGATTGGTTTGTACCCATGTGAACTTTTACTCAGCAGGTCGAAATATACAACATACCAAAATTTGGTTAAATTCCGCGTTCAACCAAAATCCCATAAGAAGTGTGCGGGGTCCTTTGTGGTAGAATGACTTCTCAAAGGTTTTGACTGTTCTTATCGGTGCACAGATCTGGCATGTAGCTTAGCTTACTGGCTTGTTCATTCTGGGCTTCTATCAATTATCGTAGTATATCCTAAATTTGTACTGGGGACCCAATCCGGATTGTTTCTATCCTTAAATTCTGCTGGAAAAGGTATTAAAAGTTACCTATATACTTGTAGAAACATAAACAACTTTATTGATATACCGAGATGAAGTGTTTTTGTATTTTAACAAGACAGTCATAATACTTATGTGCATCCTTTTCTAACACGCGGAAAGGAACAAATGGGCCAAGTGGCTGTCTTTTTTTCCATAAATAAATAATAAAAAATAAAAATGTTTTTTCCTATTTTCTAATGATTCCTGTGATTTTTTGTGATTGTATAATTTAGGAATAGTTATTTATGAATCTGTTTAGTGCCTAATGATGGATGCCATTACAATATTAATCAATAATATCCCTGTAGCTCTACAGGACAATCAAAATATCGTTAATCAGTTAAAAACTGGTAAGTGAGAAGTGATTATTTATTTAATAGAATACAATAGAAATATTTATCACAAGAAAATCCTATACTTTACAAGGCTACCCACTACAATGCACAAAAGTAATCCAGGTTCTTTCAGAGGTCGTTTCACTTAACCTAGTTCTTATGAAGATATTTATATTCTAAGAAATAAAATGCATAAATGAAAATATACTTAAGTATTACATAAATTCTTTATTTAGTCATTGACTAATTATTCTCAAAATTCGAGTCACAATTTTCAAATTTTCAACTTAGGACTACATACTTACTGTTCTGGTACCTATGTTGTCTATATTGATTTGTAACTTCAATATTTTTGATTTTTTTAAAAGTATCAAGTAACTTATTGAAAAACTATAGATTTTTATAGGTACCAAGCATCATACTTACACGATTCCTGAAAATACTGAATAATTCTTGCTTTGAGCGTACATGGTATTAATAAAAAATGGCTTAGGGCTTGAATTGTTCCAGGACTCAACTTATTTTCCCTTTGAAGACCGGATTTATTATGCAATCATGGCTAAAATTCCGCCACTGCTAATTTTGAATCTAGGTCTCTGCATTAATTTTTTGGTGATCCATGCCAGTTTGCCTAAAGCTAAAACTGTTTTTGTTCTAGATGACGACTTTTTATTGGACTATGTTTGCAGAGCTGTTCAATGCCAAAGAATACCCTTTTGTAGCATCGAGGATTTACCAACCTTGACCATTACAAGATTTACTGACAGCACAATTGCTAATATTCCAGGCCCATCATCTGCAGATTCGACAAAAACAACACAACCATTATACACAGCTTCTTCAAATGTAATAGATCATGACAGTTTAATCAATAATCAACCCTCCTCACAACCCTCAGATAAAGTAGCTCCGGCTCCGGTAAGTCACAATAAAAAGCAAGTTTGGGTCACTAAAGGCAAGCCAAGTCAAGATGACAAAGAAGCAACATATCAGATGCTGCAACTGAGAGCATCAGACAAATTTGTGAAAAAATTTAATGATAAATCATCAGTTAAGTTAGAACTTTGGAAGGAAATCGCAAATACTCTTTTAGAATTAGGATTCGATGTGGATGCTCGAAGTTGCAGGCAAAAGTTTTCCAATCTTTATACTAAATACATTAAATTTAAGCAACATGTCAAAACCACAGGAGAAGGAAAAAGGGAGCCCCCAGAATTCTATATTATTATGGACCAGATACTAGGAGAAAAAGATAAGGTCAATTTGCAATATGTAACTGACACACTTGACCCTGTTGAGGTCATTTATACGTGGGATTCTGATGATGAAAATGTTTCCCCAGAAATAGAATTAAATACAAGTATGAGAGATCATCAGCCTCAGAAGAAACATTCAAATAAGTCACAACCTAGTTCTCAACCTAGCACAAGTAAAAATGGGGTATTACCTAATAATGATAAAGAAAAATCATCAGAAAAATCCACACAAAAAAGACATACCACAACAAAAACAGAGATATTGAATACAATTACGGTAAATCAAAATGAACAGAGACAGCAGCAAGAATCTCAATTCACTCAAATAATGAGTGTCCTATCAGAACAAAACAAATTACTGCAGCAACAAAATTCCCAAAGGCAAGAATTTCTGACAGTGATGAAAGATTTTCTGAAGCCAAAAAAAAGGAGGAAACGTAGTCAAAGTGAGTCTGACAGTGATTAAAAATTGTGATAAAATCTTTACAGTCGTTGCAACATGTTCTTTTAACTTTAAAAGCGACTTTGGAAGCTGTTACTTCTGAAAATTTGTATTGAGCATATTTTTTTTTTTAAACTGACAGATTTTGAAAGTGCTTTCAAATTTAAAAGAGGATGTTACAGACAGCTGTTAGTTGTTAATGGATAAGGTGAGACTTAATTTGTACAGAAGCGCAGAGAGATCACCAATCCCAATTTTTTTTTTATTCCGACTTTCAACTAAAAATTCTGACTTGGTCAGAATTCCAGGTTATAAGTCAGAATTCCAAGTTATAAGTCGAAATTTGAAAAAAAAAAAAAATGGGATAGGTTGCCTCTCTGCGTTCAGTATTGCGCTATGGTAAATTTGTGACTATATAAAAATATGTGATTCAAGTGTTCTAGGTTCCTAATAAAATATTATTCTTAAGACTTATAACTTGGAATTCTGACTTATAACCTGGAATTCTGACCAAGTCAGAATTTTTAGTTGAAAGTCGGAATAAAAAAAAAATTGGGATTGGTGATCTCTCTGCGCTTCTGTACAAATTAAGTCTCACCTTATCCATTAACAACTAACAGCTGTCTGTAACATCCTCTTTTAAATTTGAAAGCACTTTCAAAATCTGTCAGTTTAAAAAAAAAAATATGCTCAATACAAATTTTCAGAAGTAACAGCTTCCAAAGTCGCTTTTAAAGTTAAAAGAACATGTTGCAACGACTGTAAAGATTTTATCACAATTTTTAATCACTGTCAGACTCACTTTGACTACGTTTTCTCTTTTTTTTTGGCTTCAGAAAATCTTTCATCACTGTCAGAAATTCTTGCCTTTGGGAATTTTGTTGCTGCAGTAATTTGTTATGTTCTGATAGGACACTCATTATTTGAGTGAATTGAGATTCTTGCTGCTGTCTCTGTTCATTTTGATTTACCGTAATTGTATTCAATATCTCTGTTTTTGTTGTGGTATGTCTTTTTTGTGTGGATTTTTCTGATGATTTTTCTTTATCATTATTAGGTAATACCCCATTTTTGTTCAAAAGTTAATACCTACCCATTATTACTTACATTCTATGATTATTCTAATATTAATAAGTTAGTTAAGTTTTAGTTTCCAGAGTTTATAACTATTAGGCTTATAGTGATTTTTCCCAAATATTCAAATTTGTTGTCTCGATGATTTAGTTAGTAGGTATAGAGTTGGTTTGTTCATTAAACATAATCACGAACCTGTCTGAAAATACCTCGGAAAATACCTATTTATAGCTACTTCGTTGATCAAAATTTTGTTATGGAATTTCGACTGTAACTTGAACTTCTTTAGGTTGCCTCTCTGCTCTTTGCTAAATTTGTGATTAAAAATATGTGATTCATGTGTTTTAGGTTCCTAACAAAATATTATTCTTGAGACTGGTTATCCAAAAAATATATTTATCTATTATAACTACGTATTATTATCTAAATTCTATGATTATATTCTATTATCATTAAGTAAGTTTAATTAATTTTAGTTTGCAGAGTTTATAAGGCTCTTAGTGGTTTTTCCCAAATATTCAAATTTGTTGTCTCGATGATTTAGGTAGTAGGTATAGAGTATTGGTTTGTTCATTAAACATGATTAAGAGTTTGTCTGAAAATACCCATTTATGGCTACGCGCTTTGGTAAATTTACGATTAAAAATATGTGATTTAAGTGTTTTAAGTTCCTAACAAAATTTTCCAGAGTTTATAAGACTTGTTACATACAAACATACATATGGGTATACATACTATTTACTTTTGTTGTATCAGTAAAACAAGGCAACTCTATAATCAAATCAAATATAAAATTATTGAAATGTAAGTTAAATTTCAATTATGTGCTCAAAAATGCATAGTCTTAAGTATTATGTTATATCTCAGATATTTTAGAATATCCTTCTCTGCCCAATGTTCTAATAACAATAGACCAAAAATATGTAAATTAATACATATGTAAAGTTCCTTGAAAAATATTTTACTGAATACTAAGTATTAGTTTTTCTTCAGTATTGAATATCTTTTCAGAAAAAAATACCTAATATTTTTGATTAATTTCTGGACTTCTGCCAAAAGAAGAGTAAAGAAAAACTTCAATTTTTGGCCTTGCACAAGAAAGTATGACAGAACAACTTTAAAATACCCTGTATTGTATATTTAATATGTTGATATCTGAGTTAAATCGTTTTGTATTGTTCTTGCCATATGTAAAGAGATGAATATTTTATTAAGTTTATCTTGTTTTTGGCTTAGTATGGTTATGACCATAGTTATGACGTTTTGGAGACTGTTTTTTCTTCGTGATATTTTTTTTAAAATTTACTGGGTGTCAAGTTATAAGTACCACCACCTATAACTTTTTTATGTGCAATCAAAACTAAAAAAGTTACAGGCGGTGGAACTTAATAACTTGACACCCTGTACAGTGAGGTCATTTTATCTTGAAAACATTTTAAATACCTAATTTCTTTATTTTTAAAGTTATTTAAAAATAATCTATAGGCCAGGGTTGTTTTCCAAATTTCAAATAAAATGGAAAAAAATAAATAAAAGACTGTATATTTTGACAGTTATGCACACAAATACCATTTTTTTCAAATGGAACACCTAGTAAATTTTTAATTTGTTCGATATGTTTCATTCTGATTGCAAGATATAGGTACAATATGATACAATCGAATACAATTTTACCACTTTTATATTTACATGCAGAAATGTTTTATCCGTTCAAATTGAAAATATTGGATGATAATCAATATTTTCAATTAGAATAAATATAAATATAAAGTGAATAACATTGTATTTAATAATTGTATTGTATTGTATATCTTGCAATCAGAATGAAACATATTTGGTCTGTTCACACAAAAACTACAAACCAGTAAGAGAGAATTTATTTGGTTGAAACTAGTTTTCTGACTGTTTTCAACCAATGAAATTCGCTCTGACTAGTTTGTGATTTTTGTGCGAACAGACCTATTATAAAACAAATTGAAAATTCACTGAGAGTTCCATTTTAAAAAAATGCTGTTTTAGGTTTGTTTGTGTTGTTCCAGGCAGCACTTCTTGGTAAAGTCCATTCCAAAATAATTCGTTGACTCTTCAAGTATCAATAAAATGTTGATGATACCCTCAACCACAAACTTCGACTACCTGTGAGCAGGTCCGTGTTGATTTTATTTATTATACCTGCCTAGGTGAGATGTACATGTAAATGTGGGTGAACGTTTTAGTTAAATTATTTAGTCTTTGTGCAGAACTAGAGCTGTTATATTGACAAAAAAAATGTGGCGTCCATGGGCAAATGATGGTAGTATTGCAACCGGAAGTGGTATTTCAAAAAAAAAACATTTATCGCTAGATGCCAAGGAAATTGTGAGGAACGTTTATTTAACCCTTCTGCAGAGAGGCTATAATCATAATCAAAGTGTGAGTGAATCATCCGTTTTAACCAAAACTCCATTATCTACGGTTAAAGATATCGTAGCCAAACGCATCCAGCCAAGGAAGCAACGGTGTGACAGCGGCAAGTCAAGAAAGGTTGAAGAAGCGGATAAAGAGTTGATTCGTAGGAAAATTTATGATTTGTACAGTAAACAAATAATACCTACAATAGATTCTCTAAAAAATGCAAGTAATACAAAAGTAGAACTTCAAAAATATATGATGGAAAATGATATGTATTTCGAAGAAAATTATACAAAGAAAGATCTTTTAAACGTTTTGAAATCATATAATGTTAAAAAAGAATATATTTGTGACGATCTTGCTAGCGCTTGTGGTCATACAGTTTTGCGTCTTCCTCCATATTATTGTATTTTCAATCCAATAGAACATATCTGGCATGAATTGAAGGCAATGGTTAGGAGAGGAAACACCTCTCCTACACTTAGTACTGCTGTAATAGATTTAATTAGAAAATGTGTAGATAATATTCCAGTTCAAAGCTGGAAAAATTCTGTCAATCACGTTATAAAAGTTGAAGAAACCTATAATTCAATAGGTATTAATGTTAAGCCATTAATAATTAGTTTAGGCATAGATGAAGATGACAGTGACAGTGAAACGGAACTAAATATAGATTAGGTTTGGTTGAATTGTGTATTGTATTATATTGTATTAGATATTAAGTTTTGGTAATTATTAAGATAGTATAAGATTATAACATAAATAAATAATATTATGAAACGCCTTTTTCGTTTTCATTATAATGGGCACAAAATCCGTACCTGTAAACCTTTGAGTGGGTATTAAGGAACCCGGTACCTACATAAAAGAACCTGGTACCTACACAATAGAGGCTAATAGCTATCTAATTTATGGTAGGGTTTTATAGCCGTGAAGTCAACGAAATATTTTGGAATGGACTTTATGAGACGTCCGTTTGTGTGCGTTTTACATGGTTTATCTGTCATAATCTGAAATAATACTGCTTGGTTCAAGTTAGTGCAACACAAAAAAACAAACCTTTTGTGTGCATACATTATACTTAGATAATAATTGTTGTTTGTTATTGTATAGGTGTTGTTTCTTGTTTTATATAAATAAATATCTGTCAAAATCCTATATTAGTTTTTTGTCTAGCCTATCTAAAACTTTGAAAACAACCCTACAGTGGCCGAGTTCGTTTTTGTCATCTTTTTGCTCCGAAATTTTGACAGGCACGTGACTGGATCAGATAGTTTCAATTTACAAATCACTTGCCTGTCAAAATTTCGGAGGATATCGACGAAAAAGATGACAAAAACGATCTCGGTCAGTGTTTCTTCTATTAATTT